TCACAACATTAAAATGGTTTGTTTAAGTTATCGGATTATATATTTTAATGATAAGTGCAAAAGGGAAATAACCCGAACCATACAGGTTGAATTCAGTCCTGTCACCTCCATGGTGAGGACGAGCTTGACAAAATTCATTAGCATCGTCCAATTTTTCATCATCCGCGGCACATTAGCATGTGTTATACATTTTTGAGCAGTGTGTATATGAACTTATTTATGCAAAGCTTAGTCCCGCATTCACCAATAGAGGAAGAGACTATAGGTAAGTTCACAGCCTGAGGCTCGCCATTCAGCATAGAAGGAGAACATTCACAGAAATAACTGGCAATACCAGGTAGAGTTGGTGCCTACCAAAAAAAAGATTAGTTCAGTTAAAGAAAGAACACTAATTTTATGGTTTGACATAAGAAAGCAAAGCAAACAATTTATGGAGATCTGAGGCAGGGTGCAGGCCATTGCGTAGAGACCGCTGTGAATGCTTAAGTAAAAATAGGGCTCATATTCATACAAACGGCGGGCTTACCAGAGGAAGTCTTGATGCCGCTGTAAATTGTAGAAGGACCCAGCGAGAAACCTAATACATGAAGCATTAGTTAAAAGTTGAAGTATGCACTGCACAATCATGACAGTAAATTAAATGTGTGTAAATTAGGAGCTGTCAGTGGAATCTAAGGCTACATAAACTTCTTATAGCCCATATTACAGTAAGCATTGTGTAAAAGCTTAAAAGGTGCAGTCCAAAAGCCTAGATGAGATTATTCTTGAAGAAAATCTAAGCCTGCATAAACAGCTGTACCTCGTGCTGTCCCTAGATCATAGCACTGTAGTTACTTTGCTTTAGAAAAGGAATCTCATGATAAATAATGCTACATAAAGCAGATAACATATTTTGCAGGACATGTACGATTTGGCTTGCTGCAATCTTCTCTGCAAAAGTCAGACTGGATCCAAATATGTTGCGAATGACAAATTCTTACTACAATTCCAGGAAAGGGATGTTCTGAAAGGTAGCACATCAGAGTATACAAAAGGAGGAAATCATCACAGGCAGCGTCATCAGAAACCGAGATTTCATAACAAAGAGATAATTACAGCCGCATAGTCCGTGACTAAATAGGCAATAAATATTACCCCTCATTGGTGTCTCCAAACCACACAAATTAGAACATGTAGGAAGAGATGCATTAAAAATCAGGAACAACCAATTGACCATCGCCTCAATTACCACGGAACAGGTGCAAAGAGATGGCAAAAATAGAACAGCCTATGATCATTGCCTCAGTTATGGAAACAGCAAAGAGATGCAAAACGAAGGAAGAATCATCATAGCTCATGAGCATTGCCTCATTAGTCATGAGAAAGAAGGAAGAGATGTAGACCATGAAAAGATCGCTCATGATCATTGCATCAAACACTACAATAATCATTACTGCAGTAGCCCAGTCCCTCAAAGTAAAATATAACGGCAAGAGAAAAGTGTATTCATCATTTCAGGTGACCAAAATGCAGACAACGAACCATAAACCATCAGGACTGCATTGTTGAAGGTCACATGCTCAGATCCATGGCACAATAATTGCGTGCTCTCAAGATCCAACCGAACCGAGTAGGCCACAACCTACAAAACGCAAAACAATCCTTAGTAGCATGCAAACTGGTAAGACAAGGGGACAAAAATAGATCTAGGCTGAAACCGAACTTCCCTTGTTCATTTGCCTCCTTTGACCAAGATTCCCCCTCCAAATCTCACATGCAGTGAAAAATTATGCAAGGGAAGGAGGGTTGAATAGAGGTAAAGCGAGGGAGGGGGCCGGGAGCCAACATGCGAGCAAACAGTGGAGCCGCGTAGACCACCTGCACCAGCTGCCCCCGCGGGGGTGCCGCGGCCACTGACGGTGCCCGCTTCGCCGCTGGCGCCGTGTCGGAGGCACAGACCCCGGGCGCGCTCATGCTGGTGCGCCACGCACACGCAGCGGGGATCCGCCGGCGCTCGCGGCCTGGCGGATCGCCGCCACCTTGAAAGCGAAGGCGCGCACGAGAGAGATGCACGCAGTGGGGGGAGGGGAGGCGGCTGCGCCCACCGCCGGGGCCTGGCCAAGCCGATGCGCCGGAGGCCAACCGATGCGGCCACAAATCTGGAGAGAGGGAGAGGAAGAGAGAGAGGCGTCGCCGGGCCGCCCGCGCCATTGGCCGGCCTGGCCGGCCAGTGCGCTGCCGCCTCGTCCTATCCGCCTGGATTTGTCGCCGCGTGGAGAGAGAGAGGCAAAGAGAGAGGAGGTCGAGAGCAGAGAGAGAGGGAGGAAGGAGGTGGAGGGGGAAAACTCACCCACGGCTCACAGATGCACGCACGTAGTAGCAGCAAGCATACAAGCAAGTGTCAGCAGTGTACCCGCACACACAAACAGACAGCTTATGCATGCATGCAAAGCAAGCAAGGCCCTATAGCAGCATGCGTGCCGACCACCGTGCTAATTAGGCACCAGCCATGCATGCCGAGAATTCACCGTCCCCTGCTACGCGCCACCATCCATTTGCGTACCACGTACAATCACCAGGGATGCCCTACTTCATTGAATGCGTCCACTTGCTTCATCTATCTACTGCCGAATTCATGGAGCAAGACTGGTTGTGGCGCGCTTCATTTGAGTCGTGGAATTTCTATCTAACACACTAACTAAATAGAACGTATGTGGACACCCTAGGAGGCCACCTATTCGACGTGCCTTTATATCTCTAATTAGGATGTTTGAAAAGTATCCATGTAATATTCTTTTAAATTTTTCTCTATTACGTGTTTTTTGTCTTATGCCTCTAGATTTTATTATTATTTATTTAATTATTTATTTATTTTTATATATTATATACTAATTTTATGAACCTAAAATTAGAATATTATTCTTTTAAACTGAGAACATTTTTCTTACGAAGACATAACATTGTTATTTGAACCTAGAATATTATCTCTGCTTAATAAAATACAATATTCTATTTTTATGAGATAAATGTTCGTTAATAAAATTTTATCTAAATATATTTATGTGAGATCTTGTTTTGAAGGATTTATCGTAAGAAATTCGATGGTGTAATTGAAATTTAATTTGGATATTTAGTTTAGCAGTTATGACTTTTCGAAAACTCAGCAAATGCTTACGTAAAACTATTCTCGGCAATGCTTATAGAGGAGCGGATTCCAATAAAGCAATCGTACCATTAAATTGTTATTTTTGTGAACGTGGGGTGTGCTCACATGATACGAAAATAATTTATCAGCAGTATGCTGTGCGCGAGTGGGCGAGCGGCAACTATAGGCGCGTTCTTCCGTCTGCGCGGGAAACAAAAAATAATTCATTCGGCAGCGGGTTTCTGTCCGGCCGCCCGGACCCTAAGAGCGCCCGAGATCCCGGCGGCGGCGTCCTCCCCCTGTTTTCACACGCTCGGTCTCGGTGTCTTTCCGCCCGCTCGGTCTCGGTCGCAGTCGGATGCGGCGGTATTGGCAGAAAGAGTAGAAGGGCAATTTAGACATTTCTCATATCGGCAAACTAACATAATACCCTAACCGACTCGAAAAAAAAGTCATAGAAGAAAGAAAATTTTGTTTTGAAGCCATACTAGTTCCAATAAAAAATGTCCATACAAGGAAGATATATTTTTTCCAGGGCAATACAGGTAAAAAGCTCGAACTTTTTTTATGGAGACAATCCCTATGGAGCAACCGTGAGCACTCAACGGAGATCCGCAACACGTGTCCATGCACATGCATCTAAATCATGATTGAATTGTAGTTTTTCTTTCAAACTATTCTTCCTTGAAGCATCTCCAAGAAACTCTCGTTATATTTTATAATTGTTGGAATAGAGATTTTAATGAAACATACCATCCTACAACTTCTCTAATTGGATACAATCCAATATAACCATTCTTTATTTCGGATTTCTCACTGGCCAAATATAGATATCAAGATTGACTCTCTAGAGTTGACATAAGATAAAAAAAATTATTGGAAGTGGAAAGATATAGAAAATAATTTTTATTCAATAACTCCCGGAATGATAGTTCAAAAGCCTTCTAGGAGTTGCCGTAAATTATAAGATAGTCCTACCGTATATTGGATGGGAGCAAGCGAACGCTAGACCAGTTGGTCTGGCTGTGCACTTTGCACGGTGCCGGCCAGAGTTTGAACCCCCTTGAGGACGGATTTGTTGGCCGAAGGAGGCGTAGTTTATCTGCGCGTTGAAAAAAAATCCCCTCGTCTGCCCCACGCCAAAGCACAGGTCTAAGGCCAGCTCAGTCTCACGGGAGCTGTGGTGCCGCTGTGTATGGGTGGAACAGAGGTTCGGAAGTTTTCTCAATCTACGTAAAAAGGTCTTCTTCTTAAATACAATGTCCGACTTACCCAGTGGATCAAGTTATATATTTATTTATTTATTTATTTTGGATGGGATGCGTTCTCTTTCTGTCCGACCTAGGCCTGATGTAAGCCAGCTCTCTCTTTTTTTTTCCTTTTTTTAGGGGAAGCCAGCTCTCAAAATTTGGATTTATTCCTGTTTTATAAATCACCATGATTCGAAGCCAAACTTTGTACAGATGAAATTCACCTTGGAACGAACCTATTCCTCAAAAATCATGGCCTGGGATTGACCCAAACTCCGGTAAATTTGGATCGAAGCCATGAACTCGAGTTTTTCCCCAAAACGAAATCAGCTTGATTCGTGGTGCTCAAGTGAAGGATTTGTCAGGGGATCACCCTAGCCTTGATCACACATGTCCTAGCTTCGAAATCCCTCAAGAAATTTAACCCAATCGCAGCCAAAACCGACGACCAAAAATCAACAAAAATGGCTCCGAAAACACACCAACATAAAAACTTCAGATTTGGAGAGGGGAACAAGAGGTGCACGAATTTGATCCTTGCATAAGCTCAGGTGGAGGTTGGCGATGTCGTGCAGTGGAGGTCCGTGATTGGACGGCTCGAGCTAGGGGCGGACGTCTACTCAGTCATGGACGATGGCGCGTGTCTACTCGGAGGCGGCAAGCCGGCATCAGCCGGCGGCGGCGCAGCGTTGGACGGCCGCGGCAGCGGGGTAGTGGCAGTGCGGCGGGCGGCGGCATGGGGAGGGGAAGGGCAGCGGCGGTGAGTCGCGCCGCGCGTGCTGGTGTCGGGGCGGCACAGTGTGCATTGGGGCGACGGCCTGCTGGTGTGTGTGCGTGCGAGGAACATGAACAGGACGAAAGAAATAAGGTTTTGAGTTTAAGGGCAGGGGTAAAACGGGAATTAAAATTTGGTTGAAACAAAAATAATGATAAAATTAGAGAGAAATCACTAAAATAGCATTTTAGCGTGTGCACCATTTGATAATGGCAATCCGTCGAATCCGTTGTGTACGATGGCAAATGAGCGAAGGCAAAATACCTATTTTGTCGCAGCACTGATAGCACTCCAGCCCTCGCCATCCTCCGCTGGATCCGCCCATCCTCGGGCTATCGGAGGCGTCGCCAGCCTGCCACCTCCGCCGCGGCCGCCACAACATGAGTCCGTACGAGGAGCAGGACGACGACGAGGAGGTCGTCCCTAACACGGCGCGCGATCTCCACCTCCATGAAATGCTTCAGCGAGGACAGTTCTTCGGCCTCCAATCCCATCGCCGCCGGCTTCACCGCGGCGGCCACGTTGTCCGGCCGGCGTGGCGCCCTTCCTCCGCGCGGGCCCGGCGGATTGGAGGGGCTGGACCTGAACTGCCTGCCCCCCGACCTCGACTACGGGACGGCATTTGGTCAGCTGCTTCGTTCTTCGTCGGTCGGCGCGGTTGGGGACGCAGAGGCCGCCCTTGTCCCTGGAGGCGTCCGCGGGTCGTGGCTCCGCGGCGACCCGCACCAGGTCGCTCGGCGCTCCTGCTGGCACGGCGGCAAGGCTGTACCGCGCTCTTCGGCCTGCAGGAGCGTCTACCAGAAAGGTTACCACAGCTCCCGGTAGTGGCCGTCGTGGCGTTCGTGGGGGCGCAGGAGTTGTGGCTGGCGGCGAGGACGAAGAGGGTGACGATGACCATGCTCCTCTTCGTCAGGCATCATCGGTGTGGAATTTTCTCTTGCCCATCTTATTTTGCCACTGATTTCTCTTGCCAGTTGCCACTGCGCATGAATAGCAACTGATGAAGAGATGACAGCCCGTCTGTAATTTTCTAATAAATGTGGTCTATCACACTTTTAGAATTAATAATATTGTTTGCCTTGTAATAGGTAGTTATCACTGTTTCAGTAATTGCCTAATAGATGTGGTGTTTCACCCCTTTAGTTTAGAATTATTTGCCTAATAATAGCTGTAGTCTATCACTCTTTCAGTAATTGCCAAATAGGTGTGGTCTTTCACTCTTAGAATTATTTGCCTAATGTATGTGGTCTTTCACTCTTTTCTGGAGTTATTTGATCCATTTCTGTTTTGCCAACTATCATACTTGATTACTTGTCTTATTTGTGATGCATACTTTGCCAATTCCTTATATAAGACATGATGGCTGGCATTGGTACAGACCATGAGAAGTCAGTTGCACTGACAAGAGTCTTTTAACATAGTTCAACATATATAATTTTTTGTCAACTATGTGAACTTGAATTAGTTGAATATCCAAATTATAAGACCACTCTGGTATTGTGTGAACTTGAGACATGTTTACAGTGCTTTGCCAAGAGTGTTAACAAAGTTCAGCATATACATTTTTTTGGTTAATGCTTATGAATTTTGATGATAATTGTCCACTTTTTCTCACTGTATCAATGCATGTATAATTGAAGGAGGAGCTAATTTTCGACAGGGCTGATTGGAATAGCAACAACAATGCGGTGTTCTGTGAGCTTTGTGTTGATGAAATAAGACCTGGGAATGCACCTAATGGATATATGAGTGCTAGGGGCTATAAGAACATATCTGATAACTACTATGTGAGGGTGGGGCCTATATATCGTTTGGTTGTGGCTGAACAAGCAAACTGGACTTGGCCGGGCTAATGGACAGTGGTGGCAAGTAAGAGCTTTTGGGAAGAGCACACAAGGGTACTTGTCCTACTCTTTGGTCTTTTGTTTTTAGCAAAGACATCAAGTGAAAGGCGCACTGATGGTTATTTGTTTTTCAGAGACGTGCTGAATGGAGGAAGCTAAAGGATGGGCCTCCAGAGTGTCTAGGTGATCTTGAAGTCATGTTTCAGCATATATCTGTGGACGGATCATCTTGTGTTCCTGCCGAACTCATTGGCAACGAAGGGGGCAGAGGGGATGTATGTGATAATGGATGTGATGGACGCCCTTTGTGTATCACTAGTTTGAAGAGAGGTGGTAGTACTAGTACATGTGCTACTAGCGCGAGGAAGAGTGCAAGGACTACTAGTGCGAGGAATAAAGCTAGGAAGAGAGTTAAAAACACTATGGTGAAGATAATGAAGGGAATATTGGAGACCATGCAGGCCAATAGTATAGTAGCCCGAAAGGTGATGCTGGGGGAATTGAGGGCTGAATCCATCAGGCGGGTGATGCGTTTGGTTGTGGAAAGTGGGGCAGCAGAGGGAAGCGTTGAGCATTTCATGGCTACCCGATTGTTTGTAAAGGCTGAAAATCGTGAAATCTTCTTTACCTTTACCACGAATGAAGGAAGGCTAGCATGGTTGAAGAGGTGGCGCCAGATAGCGAGACTCCATTATTTTTTAGGCAGTGAACTCGTGTTATAAGGAACTGTTGTCTTCGTTTAGGTTGTGAATTGCTATGAGCAGTATGTGAACCATTGTCTTCATTTAGGTTGTGTCAACTTCTGTTTTCGTTTGGGTTGCGAACTATTCAGGGCTACATTGAATTGTGAGTGTATGATGATCATGTGTGCTGATCTGAAATGATTGTGTGAGCTGAAAGCAACATGTCTTGTTCTGTATTTTATGCTCATTTAAGCTCGTGTTGTCTATGTTTTTTTTTCCTCTGTAGTGATTAGTGAACTGTTGTCGTGGTGTACAGAAGTTGTTCTGGTCATGTACACAACGTGTTCTGGTTCTGCAGTGATATATGGCTGCAACTCTTGATGCATATGCTTATTTATAAATTTATTACATTGAATCTTGTTCAAGGTTCGGTTTTAATATTCATGTAAGCTCATGTTTATTACTGATCTACCTTGGCAATTATCTTTGTTTGTCCCTTATGATGAGTGTTCATTCAGTGTTAAAGATGAAGTGGTGGATTTTGTTGGATTTGCCAAGTTATCCTATGATAAAGCAACCTAAAATAATACTCCCTCCATCCCAAATTATAAGACGTTTGACTTTTTTGACCCTAAGTTTGACCACTCGTCTTATTTAAAAAATATGTGCAAATATAGTCAAATTTAAGTCATTCTTGAAGAATTTTTATTAATAAACCAAACCACGACGAAAGAAGTGATATTTTACACAAATTTTTGAATAAGACGAGTGGTCAAACTTAGTGTCAAAAAAGTCAAACGTCTTACAATTTGGGATGGACTGAGTACATTACTGGCATGTATGAGCACTGCACAACTAAATACGAAAAAGTACAGTGACTTTGAAATGTGTGTTCTTGATGAAAACGAAGCGGCTAAGCAGTGCTGATGATCATTTAGGGGAGATGAAGATTTGATTTGTTAGTAGTCTCTGTTTTAAGGATGGAGGACATGTGACGTATGGCGAAGTGGCAAAAGAAGGTTCGTCCCAAAGGTTTATACCGGGACACATCTTGCAAGGATGCACCTGTCCATCCTAAGCTACCGGTGCCTAAGTGTGACTGTGATAAGTCAACCTACGTGTTTGGACGATAGAGGCATCCGAAAACTGCACACGGTCTTCTACACATGCGGCGATTGTCATGTAAGTAATCCTTTGTAAATAATTCATGTTGTTTCATTGATATTCCTAATGAAATTCCCGATATGATGGTGGTGGTATTAACTTTTGTAGGACAATGAGAGATGCTATTTTCTCATTGGGTCGATGGGTCCGACAAGTTGACTCAAGGTTCTTCCTTTTCAAGCAATGGGGGTCGCCGGCAAAATACGAGTGGTTCAAGCGGTGGGTTGGATCCAAACCCTCCATCGATGACGGACGAGAAGGATAAAGCCGCCTCAAAACAACTTAATAACCCACCCCTATGTGAATGCGGAGATCCAGCTGTGTTTCAATTCCTTTATTTCTGCACAATTTGAGTGCTATAACAAAAACGAAGTGCGCCTTTTTTCTCGATAGCATGTAGTTGTATGTTTTTTTTTATGTATCAACTTGTGCAGTACAGATATTAGAAATGTCTCTTCAGTGAGTGGCTATATGAACCTAAGTCTCATTGGCCTGAGCCGAAGCAGAAGGAGAAACAAAACAAGAGGCATGTTGCCTCGCCAGTAAAGAAAACAAGAGGCGTGTTGCCTCGCCAGTAAAGTACCATTGCGGTGTGCAAGCCAACTATGGCCTTAGTGCTTTCGGAGCTTGGAATAGGTCACTGGTGCGAGCATATTGTTTATTATGATGAGGTTCTTCATTTCTTAAACACTTTCAATTTTTGTTTTCATGGAGTAAAGTCTGTATGGTTACACTTGGGGCATAAAATGACTAATTTCTGTCAACAGAGCACTCGAAAATGTCATTGGGAGTACTATGATTTCAAAGAAGAAATTAACGACTAAATATGGAAGAAAACTATACTTGGCCAAAAGTTTAGATGTGGATCTCAGCTTCTACAGAACTACATTAAACACCGCAAAGGAGGATCAATGTTGTGAGGCGTGGCAAAGGGGTCTACCTTATCCGATACGTCCAGATACCCTAGAATGGTACAACCGGGAGGACGAAAGGAGGAGGGTTGCCGAGAAAAAAGGAAGAGGAGGAGAGGGCTAGGGAGACAAAAAATAAAGTTCAAATGTAGACTATGAAGAAACTCGTTGCTGACTTGCCTAGATTTACTAGTAAGTGTTTTGACCTTGTATTTTTTTGTTAACATGTTCTTATGTTAATGTACGTGGCTAACCTTTTTTGTGTCCATACAGGGAATGCACCTAGCACTGACCATGCAGCTAAGTTAGCACAGGCAAGGTTTGAAAAAAGGAAGGCGGATGAGCAGGAAAAAAATCTGCTCGTCCCTTGTTATCTCAGATTATGGAGGCCGATGAGGGTGTTTGCTTTGACATGGACGATGAAGATGACTCGGACAATGACTTACTTTACCAGCTCATCGATCAAGCGGAGGCAAACTACTATACACAAAAAGGCCGCTAATGACAAGGATGATGAATTCTTATCTCATGTTGCTGATGTCACGCCCCAAAATTTCTGATTTTAGGCTGTGCATAGAAAACACTAAATAAAATAAAAGGTTTTAATATTTGGATAAGATCTACCAAGTTAAGTTTGAGCTAGCGTAAATTTAGTTATAGGAAAAATATGAATTTTCAAAGTTTTCTAATTTTGACGTGCGTTTGGATAATGTGATGTTTGCTTGTTGCTTGACTTGCTGTCTTTTAGTAAGTCGTTTATCTATCTCTGGCTCGTCTCTGTCTTTTCTGATAATCAAATTCTTGATTTCTCGATCCTAATCTTTTCATTCAGAGTTTCTAAAGATCCTCTTCTTCTCCTCAAAATCATTCCTTTGACTTCATCATCCATCAACCTATCTCTCCAAACTCCTTGGGATTTTTTCTGAAACTTATTCCCATTTTTCTGCGAGCATAATCCAATTTATAGATGCTCTAAGATATTTTTTCATGAGCTCCAAATAATTTATTTGGGTTTATCATGTTCTAAAATATCTCTGAAAATTTTCTCCAAATTTTTAGAGCTTTCGGAGTATTTTCCGTGGCTCAAATAGTAATTCTATACTTTTCTAGAATTATTTTTGATACACGAATTAAATATTCTGAAAATAATTAATACTAACTTCTAATCCATCTCGGCCCAAACCTTGCATATAAATACATGACCATGATCTTCTCAACCGTCG